TTAATATATCCTATTTCACCAACAAAAATGTAGAATAATTAATCTCACATCAAACGAAAAAAGTCATTTTAGGATGTCCTAATAGGTTTTAACTTAAAAACTAAATAAAATGTATATTGCAACTGTGTTTAAGAAAATGAATGTTTTTATACCTGACTATAGCACCAGACAAACATTTTTTTAGATCATAATGATCTGCATTACTCAAAATAGTCAAAATCCACATTATTTAAGTTGTTCTAGTATTGTTTTAGCATAACGATGTAAACTCCAATAATAAATATTCAATGTTTTTTGGGACGTTTTTTAAGGAAATTAAAAAAAACATGAATAATGTGATGTTCTTGTTTAGTTTTGTACTATATATAATATAGTTCATTAGGTAGTGATTTAGAAGCAAATTATGTTCTATTTATAGAATAAAAAATCACTCATAATATCTAAATATTTATACCTATTTATACTTTGGATAGGAAGACTATTTTATGTTTTTGGCTCTGAATAGTTTTCTTAAGAATTTTGAAACCTTCCTTAGCTCTTTTGGGATATTCGATGCATATCTTATTAGTTCATTTTGTTTAAACCTAAAACAAATTAAGTACAAAAAATGAAAATTTAAACAATACACAAAATTAGTCTATTAGGTTAAAAAAAAGTGTCAACAAAAAAATGGCTTTGCCTTTTTCCTTAAACATTCTTTTTGAAAGAAACTTAAGTTTCTCTACTTACTTGGTGTTTAGTATTTTAGTAGCAGATGAATATAGTATAGAAGTAGTGACAGGATTGATTATTATACTTCTTTCGTCGAAATTGCATTTTTCTTTAATATTTTCCTTCCCGGAGGTCTGTAATAAAAATGTTCATTAGCATAAAAAGTTATTCAGGTGGTCACTTGTTGAATTCCTATATTTTGGAACCATGTATTTTTTCTCATATCAAGAAAAGGAAACCTAAAAAAAATAACAATAAACTTTACAAAGATGTGATATTAAAATAATAATGAGTAATTAACCTTTACTATAATCATTATGAGACGGATAAAAACGAACTTAGCTGGAGTTTACTTGCTCTTAATTTTAATTTTTCGATAAGAAAATAAGAAAGTTTAATTGCAAATTAAAGGTGATTGCCTAATGCACCGCCTCTGATAATTAGTTTGTGTCTGTACTTACTTATGATATTATCTTGAAGAAGCATTTTCAACAGGCCTTTTACACATAAAGCATGTTTTCACCATATTATTAGAGATAATAAATCTTAAATATATATTTACAACCATTACAACGTTATAAATAATAATATTTTCCATAAAATACAAATAAGAAATTGACATGTCTCAGAAAGTGTCAGAACTGGCGCTGCCAAACTTGGCAACGCTGATTAAATAAGCCAATTACAGAAGAGGTATTTTCTCCCTCGGGGGGAGTAGATGTTGCTAACAAAATTTAGCGCGGGGAAGGGGGGAAGACTCCCTTTAGTAGTAATTGCTCGGAGCCTATAAGTACTTCAAAATAATCAGGTTATACATCGATAACTTGTTGCATAATTATAAAGAGTGTCAGTTTGACAGTTTAAATAATCCGACCGCGAAGAGGGAGGATTATTCTGTCAAACTGACACGATTTGTAATTATGCAGGAAGTTTGAGATGTATAACCGTATTTAGTTTGAAGTACGTATTGTATTTGATACGATTATTTTTTGAGTAAATTAAGTAAATATCAACAATTTATTAATTTAAATACATATTGGTACAATGAAAATAATTATTGATAAACGTCAAAATTTGACGGTCCTGTTAGTTAGTGTATTGTCGATGTGGTTACTACGGAAATGAAATTATTGTAAATATTTTTGATTGGTGGAGCTATATATATATATATATATATATATATATATATATATATATATATATATATATATATATATATAATCAGGTATTATCGAAATTATACGAGGTAACTTAACTAAATTGAACGTTCTAATTGGTTAAAAGTTATACGAAAAAAATAATCATTGTTATTTCGTAGTTTTTAACTTGTTTTTGTGCTGTGTTTAGGCTGTATTTTGATTTTTTATTTTCAAATTTCCGTCATCGAGCCTTTAAGTTCAGCTATGTATTATTATTTTAATAAGTAAAAAGTTGTAGAAAAATAAACGTAATCCTATAATATTGGGGTTAAGTAAAATGTAGGTTAAACGTTAAAATTTTAAAATATTCTTAAATACATGAAGGCTATTTGTTATGTTCCAAAGCAGTCCAAGCTTTAAATTTCGACTTTTCATAATGAATATTGTTTGTACTTTTCGAAATCGTTTAGTTTCTGTGCACTTATTTGCACTTTTCTTCACTATTTGTGTTTTTTCAAAGTATATAAATATATGGCGGGACGATCGTCAAAAACGAATTCTGTCTTTTTTAATATATTTCGTTTATTAATGAATCAATTTTATTGTCCTTAGGCTCATTTTATAGGCAACTAAATATGCTTCCAGACAGACATAACAAAATGCCAGAAATGTAAAATTTAAGATGGCCGACCTAATTGAAGAAAAAAACGAGCCTAAAAGTAACCCATTTTAAGCTCGTTTTGCGTAATAAATATAAATTAAATATAAAATCTAATAACAAAAGTTAAATATCTAACCTATTTTCTTCATTTTAAGACCTCTTCGAGCACGATTGGTCCATTTTATCGTAAGATATAGACAATCAAAGTTGTCTAGTTTTTGTTTTCATAGAAGCTTATAATAACACATCATTATGCTTTGCAACGCTGCTATTTTAGTTTTTGACCGATTTGGACTCAATGGGTCTGATTTGGTAGGTATGTAAATATACTTTCCGACCATTAAATGAAAATGGCGGAAATTTTAAATTCCAGGATAGCGAACCTAATTGAAATATGAGTCGATTTAGAGCTAGTTTATTTTTGGTAGATCTGGGAGCATAGTTAGTTATCTATAACATGGAGCCTAAGAACAGTAAAATCGGTTTATTATTTAAAAAATGAAAATAAAAACAAATTACAGTTTTTTATAGCCCACCCGGTAAAAATAAAACATAACAGTGTTTCGCACATAACAATTTAATTTATTTTTTATTTTATTTTTGGAACGAGGTTGAACACTATGTTTTTGTCGAGAAAAAAACTTCTTGATATCATGAGAAGTTCTGGAAAGAATGAAATTAATAGAATTTGCTCACAACACCGCTAGATACTTTTTTGAAAGTACCCACGGTCAATATGCCTCCGACATTGCACAAATACTTTATACATGAGCCTGAAATAATATTTTCTGCTTTGTTACCTATAGACCAATTAACAGAGAAAACTATTGAGGACGTCTTTAATTCGTTTTTACTTAGTTTTGACCTTGTAATCACGAGCAAACGAAAATTAAAAAAGAAAGAACTTGCAGCACTTTCCTAAAAAGGCAGTAGATTTGTTTAAATCTGGACTCGTCCAGCTTCATAGCCATGGTATATTCATGACACTGATGATGACGACCGTGGAGACGATGAAGAAAATGTCTTATCACATTCTAAAGAGGATGAAATTTGATTACAATTATCATAGCTTTTCTAAATGAAATTATTATAATATTACATTTTTATTATCTGTATCTTTAACGTGTGGAGGGTGGATTACCCCCACGGCACTTAGGCCTCATTAGGTCCATGACATTTTTATTATATTATATGTTAGTATTACAAAAGCAAATACATAGAGGGCTTAATAGAATATAAATTTTTATTATATTATATTCTTAATAACTTTCAATTTTTTTTTTTGCAAAGAAACACTTTATAAACCCTCTATGTATTTTCATTTGTAATACTAACACCTCTACAAAGCAATATTTAACTTACAAATTCATAAAGAGAGTCTGTGATTTATTGCCAACTTTGATGGCTTGTTGCCCCAGTGTGCGGCGTCGTGCTCAAATTTTGTCTTCGTCCGATATGACCATCATATCCACTCTTGTTGCACAAACTACTATTTTTACAATTGATTTTAAAAATCAGTGGCGTTGCAAAACATTTTCCAGAAATGTGTAACTGCTGCTATGCTAGTAAATTATTATTGCTGAGCCGTTTTTCAGAAATTAACTGCTTCTAAAGCTACAGGGTGGCCCATTAGTGAAAAGAAATCCAATACTTTTTAAAACACTGTTAAATATACAGGACGTCCCTTTACATTGGGTCAGCTTAAATGTCGATGTTTTTAAATGAATCACTCATATTTTTTACTATTGATTTAAGCCTTCAGTACTAGATATTTTTTTGAAAAGTGAATAAAAAATAGTTTAACAAATATTAATCTTAAGCTTTCAACGAAATGTTTTAGGTTGCCAAACTTAAAGGTTATTAACCAGAATGTTTAATATCCAGATACGATACACTTGTAAAAAGACGATAAATAAAAATATTAAGTGACTGTAATGAATAAAAAAACTCATATTTATTGATGCTTTCAATTCCTTATTTTAAGTTTTTCAATAGATTATATTAAAGGGAAAAGTAAATTTTTTTATTAAAAGTTTAATGCGAGATATTTAATAGAAGATATCTGAGAACATAGGAAATGTCAGAAAGATGTTGTGGACAAATTTAATTTAAATAAGGCGTCTCTATTCTATCCGATATCTTTGATTATACCTTAGGTTCTTATATGTTTGAAAGACATTCTTATTGGGCCACCCGGCACATGCGACTTTATACAGGGGCATTCATTTTAACCATATAAACACGTTTTTTAAGTTGAATACTTATATTATTTCATTATTTGTTATTTGTTATTATAATAGAAGTACTAAAAGTAATATTTTTTACAAACTTTTATTTTAATTGATAACTTAAAAATAATAAATTAAGATTGGTCCTTAGCGCAATTTGTTGAAAACACATATTCCGTAGTTATTATAAACAAAAATATATTTTAAGAACAAAAAAATTTTGTATAATGTATTATAGTATTCATTTTAATTTATTTCCAGATGTTAATAAAATCATACGAAATGACAGACCAACTTTACAATCCTATCAACCATCTCACCCAAGCGGAATTAATGGAAAAATTCAATTTGGCTTTCTACGAAGCTCAAAATCTTTCCAAGAACGACATTCTGTCAACGTTCAACGAAAACGTCCCCGAAACAACAGATGTAAACGATACCGATGGCGTTACGGACGATTATCTCATAGATTACTTAATTTCCAATCCAGAAGACTCGCCTGTCAGCACCCCGAACAGCCAAATCGACGTCAATTTCGATTTCGACGATTTCGAAATCGATTTTGATCAAAACGTTACGAAAAACAGCGAAAACGATGAGAATTTCGATACGGAAACGTTTACCACGGAAACGTCGCTTTCCGAATCGACTAATTATTCGAAGTTCTTTGTTTCGCCCTTCGTAGAGGGAAAGCAAGAAAAAATGGTCGATAATGTCGATTTCGATATTGATTTTAGCGGAGAATTTGTTAATACTTCGGTGATTTTTGAGGATATGAAGACTGAATTCGACGAGGGCGATGGAAGTGAATGTAGCGAATTTATAACGTTTTTGCCGCCGATCGAGACGATTAAGAATAACGTTAATTTCAATAATTTCTTGAGGAAAGTACCGGCCGATGATTTGGATCAATCCAATCAGGTAAGAATCAATAATACTCAGTTTACAGATCACCAGCTTGCAATTAGGCATTTCAAACAAAATGGTTGCTCGTAGGTAATGTTGATTCGATAGGGACAATGATATAAATAGTCATATAGATTAATCATCCATGTTTTTCAAAACAAACATAAGTTTATGCCTTAAGATAAAAATGTAGGTAATTATTTTTTGATTACATTCAACGGCTGAAAATTGGTTTTGAAATACATTTTTGCTAAGTCGATTCTAATTAATGAGCCTTGCGAGGCAATATGGCCGCTATATATGAAACATTGACCCTGTTGAAAACAACAGGTTTGACATATCATAACCTGTCATTACCTTAGAGCATATAAGACTAGAGATATCATTCAATGTATTTTGTTATGTATAAGAGGAGTCATCACTTCTGGCGTGGGAGGAGAAGGGTAGGTACGCCATTCTCAATGGCGTACGGTTTGAAAGGGTTCGTATTTATGTTTACCATTTATGCACTGTAATTTCACAATAACTAATAATTTAGATAATTGATTCGCATGATTAATAAACAAATTTATTAAACAATGTTCTTTTCCTATTTAGGTTAAGCTTTCGTTATACATTGCGTGTTTTACTGGAAATGACTGTATGTTTGTTTAGGATTGAAAACTTTCTTTATTGTAGATATAGGTTTTGAAACTGTATGCTTTCAAATGAATTCGTGATCACACATTATTTTCGTTTAGTTCAGGTAGATATTTTAGAAACTGAAATATTTTCTATATAGAGTAAATAAAAGAAAAACGAAAACAAATAACAATAATTTATTTCTAGTAGAAATAATATTAAATGTACATCTTTTATAATAAAATTATTAATCAATGCAATCAAAACAAGAGATAATATAAAATATAGTAGGTACCTAACTATTCGTAATAGACATATTTATTAACTTTACAAGCAGAACACAATAGCTTATTTAACTTATACTGACTGATTTTGTTGAAACTTGCTGCCAATATCAACATATCCAATATATTTTTGGCCAGTCCATCCCACCCTTTGCATAATTGCCATTTCATCCATGAAAAGATTTAAAAAAACCTTTTCTATAACCCTTTTGACTTTCTCGCCTTTAAATTTCAATGCTCTTCAGTGAATCCAGGAGAACCATCAACAGCCTAATGTCACTTTGATAAAGTACTGGGATGTGGGAGACAATTGTTAAATTTTTCCATCACTTATGTATAAGCCTTCATACTGTAGAAGCTTAAAGTTAGTGCTAACGCTCTTAATTCAGGGGAGTATTTTGTTCTGGAATGATCTTTAATTGCTCTCTTGACCAATTCCTTAGATCCACTTGCAAGAGAAGCCTAAAAAATAAACTAATTTGACCCAAAATAACATATATAAATAAAATATTTCTTCATCATTAAAAACATTTATGAATATTACTGGAATTAATTCTTACAACCACAAGTATATCGATACTTTTTATAAAAGAGTTATTTTTTATATATCCTATCATACTAAAGATTCCAATCTACTTTGTAAAAAATATTTCCCCTAGTTTTTTTTTTTTCCGTTTAGAAGGGAGCTTACAGATATTGTGGTTTTAGGTGATGAGTTTATCAAATTTTAAACAATTTTTTGTCTTTTAAAGAGAGTTAAAGAGAGTTAAAGAGAGTTAAAGAGAGTTAAAGAGAGTTAAAGAGAGTTAAAGAGAGTTAAAGAGAGTTAAAGAGAGTTAAAGTTAAAGTTCCCTGTCTTGCATATTGTCGTCCCTACAAATGAAATGTACATAAAATATGTATTCTGCAGATTTTTAATGATATACATTTAATTAAATTTCAAAAGTTCCAAAGGTTATTATTACCAGCACCTGTTTGGCTTTTAAAAATATAAGAGCTAATCGTACCTTTTCATTAGCCTTCTTTCTTTTCTAACTTCGAAATTTTCAATGTTGGAAACTGCAGATAAGGGCATATTTTCTTTACTGTTGTTATTTTTATGCCTGTAAACAATAATGTAATAATATATATGTCTAGTATTTAACAAAATAAGCCACATATATGAATATCAAATTACAAGTATTTACAGTTTATTTCGAAAAAAAACTCCTTTCTATAGCAAAATACAGGTACATACTTTGATATAGATCCTTTTATTAATCTATTGCTACCTTTATAATAATGTTCAGTTGAAAATGGTCTGAACACAGACATGTGTTGTTAGAAATACTATTAATGCCCAAACTAAATGCTTGACAGTTTGGTTGTGAGATCAGCGGGAAATCTGAAATAAGCAAAAAAAAATTTAAAATATTAATGGCAGTTGAATAAATATACACAATACAAAAATATATCTAATCCGTTTTACATTGTATACAAAAAGACATAAATTAAGCATTATCGCAAAGAAAACGACTATTTTCTGTCGAACGCAACCAGTTGTGATCATGCTCAAATGAAGAAAATTCTACAAACATGTTTTCTTATTCATTACCTCACTTCCCATTTTAAGTTACGTTTATGGAATATAGAATACTTACTTGTGAAACATCAACCAGGATCCTTTTAAATATGTATTATTGCAAACTATACAAGCTTTCGGCATAATTAGCACTTATTTTATAATAAAATTACACTTAAAAAGTTTATCAAAGGGAAACCTCGTCTAAATTGTCTTTGGAAGCCACAAAAAATTATATTTTTAAAAACGAAAACAAGACGTCAAATGAAATGTCATTTATCACAAATACGCGCGTTATTTAAATTCGCCAATCATAAATTGTCGTGTTCCTAACTTGCCAATCATAATGCGTTGTGTACCTAACACTATTATATGCTCTAAGGTCATTACCCACGGGCAGTCTTTTGACAGGTCGTTGCACATACTTTGATTTTCTTTTACTTGATTTTCTTTTACTATACGAAGAATGGTCGCACTGCGCAGCTTTCTGAGTGCCTTTTAAAAGGAGATAGAAAACTCCGCCATTTTGAACCATTATTACGTGTTGCCTACATATTTTTAATAGGTGCGTTTTAATCATCCGCTTCTGCTTCGGAATTGTCGGTTTTCTTGTTTTAATCTGACAGGTTAAAACGACTAAACCGACAATTCCGGAAGCAGAAGCGGATGATTAAAACGCACCTGATATTTTGCTTGCTGCTGTCAGTGTCAGTGAATATTATTTTTGAAGTCACAGTTTATTGCTAAAGAATCAGTTAGCTCACTCGGACCAGTTGAAAGTTCCAAAATAACATCCACTCCAGGGATACAAATTCAGGATACGCAGAAGACTGCTGTTTTATTGTAGGCGGTTGTCATATATTGTATTATCCGAGTTGCACAGTGTATAAACTGAAACATTGAGATCAAAAGTGCCGACTCAGAGTGAGCGATCTGATTCTTTAGCTGTAAACTATGTCACAGGGTTCAAAATGGCCGCGCCCTATGTTGGGCGTGTCGGACCTCTATCTTGCCTCGTATAGTAATCAAAGTATGTGAGTCGTTGGAGCCTTTAGATATTTAAAAAAAATTATTGCTTACATTTTTACTTCAAGGCATAAGCTTATGTTTATTTTGAAAAATATGGATGATCAATCTATGTAACTATCTATTTCATTGGCCTTGTCAAATCACTAGGCCTACAGAGTTGCCATAATTTTGCCATATCATAACCCGTCAGAACCCACTGGTAGCCATTCAGTTTGGAATGCCTAAATTAGGGAAGTGCAACCAACTTTACAAAACAAAATTTACACTAATGACATGAGATCGGGTCACATAAAGAGGCTTTTTTTAGTATACTTTTTGGTTTTACTTCATCTTGTACTAGGGTAATTTTTTTAAGATTAGTATTAACGTTCAATAATAGGTCATACATATCTTCTACGGTTATTTGTTTAGAATCTGTATTCATCATAAATATAGAACGGCCTCTCGTATTATAGAAAAGTTTTTATTGAGAACGGTCTTTACAGAAATAAAATTTACAAAGGTACTCACTAAATTATGCAGTTTAGCATGTAGGTGGATCATTTTAACAACCAATAGAAAGAATATCAATTTAGGAATAAGTCGGTATAAACTTTAACTCAAATTTCTAACTTTTTACCACTAATTTGCGGATCACTTTTAAAAGTGTCTACTAAGAAGAAAGTTTAGATGATGATATTAAATACTTTACACTAAACAACCTCGAACTGATACGAATGTCGGCGAGCGCACCAGAAATCTATAAAGTCGCCACTACCTGCTGCCTTTAAACATCCACACAATTAAAGACGGGCACAATCTTTAATAAAGTCAGTTTAAGAACGTAAACGATCTGCGCTTGTTCAGATGTCAAAATAAGAGCACCTTAATTTGCATAAAAAATCCGCATTTTAGTGGGTGTTCGGTTTGCTCTTAAAGTAAAATATAGTTTCTTATTTTTTAATTTATTTTTCAGAACACGTCGCAAATCTCCAACGATTTCGGCCACCTTTTAAACTCAAAATGTTCAGTAACCATCCTGAACGAAAATTCGACCGCAATCCAAGAACATTGTCCCAACATATTCGAAGTACATCCGGACAATCACATGGTGCTTACTCAAAGCGACGCCTTATTAAACGACGACCCATTTTTGAGTTCGACCGATGATGCTACAACCTGTACGATTACTAAGAGGGAATACGTTGAGGATTTGACGGAAAACGATTGCGAAGAGGTCAGCAGCTCAGTGAATTTTCAATGCAAATGGGAAAATTGTTATCAGCTTTATGAGTCGCAGGCGACTTTGGTTAAACATATCGAGAAGTGTCATGTGGAGTTAAAGAGAGGTAAGATCAATAAATTAACTTCTCTATGGAATGATCAACAAAAAATTTCTGTAAAGAAGGCTTTGGAAAAAGTCACGTATATCAGAGCGTTTAATTGTTGTTTTTAAGTGACAGTTTGGATTTAATTAAGCATTCCAATGATAGGTTAAAATGCTAACAAGTGGAAACTGACAGTTTAGATATGGCAGCAATGTGGTCTGTTATCATTGACAAGGACAGTGATACATATATAGATGTACATATTGTTTAACGCTGGTCGTTTTGTGAGCGGCCATATTACTTTACAAATGCTCATTAATCAGAGTCAGTTTAGCAAAAATGTATTTTAAAACCAATTTTTAGCCTTTCAATATAGTACAAAAAAAAATAATTATCTACATTTTTACTTCATTGCATAAGCATGGATGATCAATCTATATAACTATCTATATCATTGACCCTGTCAAATCACCAGGCTCACAATGTTGCCCAATGAACTGGAGTAGGATAGAATGCTTGTCAATAGGCTTGACATACGACCACATACTTTGATTTTCTTTTACTATACGGAGAATGGTCGCACTGCGCAGCTTTCTGAGTGCCTTTTAAAAGGAGATAGAAAACTCTGCCATTTTGAACCCTTATTACGTGTTGCCTACATCTTGGCGCAATATTTTTAATAGGTGCGTTTTAATCATCCGCTTCTGCTTCGGAATTGTCGGTTTTCTTGTTTCAATCTGACAGGTTAGAACGACTGAACCGTCAATTCCGGAAGCAGAAGCGGATGATTAAAACGCACCTGACATTTTGCTTGCTGCTGTCAGTGTCAGTGAATATTATTTTTGGAGTCACAGTTTATTTCTAAAGAATCAGTTAGCTCATTCGGACCAGTTGAAAGTTCCAAAATAACATCCACTCCAGGGATACAAATTCAGGATACGCAGAAGACTGCTGTTTTATTATAGGCAGTTGTCATATATTGTATTATCTGAGTTGCGCAGTGTATAAACTGGAACATTGAGATAAAAAGTGCCGACGCAGAGTGAGCGATCTGATTCTTTAGCTATAAACTGTGTCATAGGGTTCAAAACGGCCGCACCCTATGTTGGGCGTGTCGGACCTCTCTCTTGCCCCGTATAGTAATCAAAGTATGTGGATACGACTCTATGGGCGAAGACAGGTTATTTTTCATCTCACTCGGGAGTATTTATAATAACCATCTTCTATTTCACATTGTAATTGTCTGATCCACCAGCTTGTGGACTGGATAATAAAAATGTGAAACAGAAAATGGCTATTACAAATACTCCCGAGTGAGATGAGTAATAAAAATGGCTGCGCCCATAGAGTCGCATCTTGTTCTATTGATACAATATCCATATTGGCCTTCTACCCCACTCCAGTTTATTGATTATAACCACATTATAACCTGTCTGACCTGTCAAAACCCACTGGCAGCCATATTGTTTGTAATGCTTATTTCAGCATCGTTCTTAGTTATCACGGTCATGGCCTACTCTAGAAACATTTTTGTGACTCTTTACTGTACTGTGCTGTGCAAAAAGAATTATAATGAATACCATGATTCTTCCAAAATTAAATTTTTATTAGTACTTTTTAATTAATTTTGCGCAGTAGGTATATTAAATAAATTAAACATTCAATGATTATAAATAGTTCAATCTTTTATTTATAATATATTCATACATTTAATTTTTCATTCTAGGCGAAGAATTTACATGCTACTGGTCTAATTGTCCAAGGAAAACGAAACCATTCAATGCAAGATACAAACTTCTAATTCATATGAGAGTTCACAGTGGCGAAAAACCAAATAAATGTCCCGTAAGTATCTTCTCATTTATCTATTAAAAATACATTTATCCTAATACATGATTTTACTCCATTACATTAATTAGTTATTTTAATGCATTTTCTTACTCTCTTATCTTAATCAATTATCTTAATCAACTATCTTTATCTTAATCAATTATCTTAATTGCTTATTTTAATCAAGTATCTTAATCAATTATCTTAGGTCCATTTGAACCACTGATCTTTAAGAAATAAGCCAAGCTTAAACTGACATTTTTACATTAACAATGTCACAACTTCGCTTAGTTTTTAACGACTAGCGGTGCAAATGGCCCTTAATAAATTATCTAAATCAATTATCTAAATCAATTATCTAAATCAATTATCTAAATCAATTATCTAAATCAATTATCTAAATCAATTATCTAAATCAATTATCTAAATCAATTATCTAAATCAATTATCTAAATCAATTATCTAAATCAATTATCTAAATCAATTATCTAAATCAATTATCTAAATCAATTATCTAAATCAATTATCTAAATCAATTATCTAAATCAATTATCTAAATCAATTATCTAAATCAATTATCTAAATCAATTATCTAAATCAATTATCTAAATCAATTATCTAAATCAATTATCTAAATCAATTATCTAAATCAATTATCTAAATCAATTATCTAAATCAAATCAATTATCTTAATCCATTATCTATTAATTATATTTATCAATTATCTTAATCAATTATCTTAATCAATTATCTTAATCAATTATATTAATCAATTATCTTAATTAATTTTCCTAATCAGTTGTCTTAATCAAGTATATTAATCAAGTATATTAATCAAGTATATTAATCAAGTATCTTGATCAATTGGTTAATTATTATTTTAATAAATTATCTTAATACATTATCATTAACCAATTATCTAAATTCATTGTATTAATCTATTATTTTAATCCATTGTATTAATTCATTAGCTTATTAATTGGTTAGCTTGAGACTAATTTCTTAATCGTTCCTGAAGGCGAAAATTTGATCAGAGGAAGCTTTAAATTATTGTTCACTTTAGAATCTGCGTTAAACAAAATCATAATTTAATAATAATATTCCTAAAGTACTTATAATTTATCGTTTCCAAACAAAATAGTGAATGTCATTCCGCTTTATACTTCTAAAGAAGTAAAAGCAGGTATTTAGTTAGTTAAAGGTTTAAAATGTACTTCTTTACTAAATGTTTACTATGAAATCTATATAACATTTGAAGAATCCTTTTAATATTACAACCTGCCTTTAATTTTATTGTTAAATTTGCCCTTAATTATCCTAATCCATTATTTTAACCCATTATCTTAATCTATTATCTTAATACATTATCTAAATCCATTATCTTATTAATTGGTTAGCTTAAGGCCGATTTCTTAATCGTTCTTAAGGTGAATTTAATTTATTGTTTACTTTAGATTCTGTTTAAAAAAATTATAATTTTATAATAGTTTTCCCAACGTACTTTAATTAAAATTTGATTTAACAAAACAGTTTCCATAGTTAAGTTAAAAAATATAGATATAATTAAATAGTGAATGTCATTCCGCTTTATATCTCTAAAGAAGTAAAAGCAGATATTTAGTTAATTAAAGCTTTAGTGAATTTTTAGTACAAAATCTATATAATATTTAAAATGTCCTTTTAATATTGCAGCCTTCTTTAATTTGATTATGAAACTGGCCATTAATTAATTGAGTTAATCTATTATCTTAATCCATTATCTTAATCTATTATAATAATCTATTATCTTAAATCATAATCTTAATTAATTATCTCAATCCATTATCCTAATCCATTGTCTTAATTTATTATATTAATCCAATATCTTAATACATTATATTAATCTATTATCTTAATCTATTAAATTAATCTATTATCTTAATACATAATCTTAATAAATTATCTCAATCCATTATCCTAATCCATTATCTTAATCCACTATCTTAATCCATTATCTTAATCCACTATCTTAATCCATTGCCCTTATCTTAATTCATTAGCTTAATCAATTATCTCAATCCAGTATCTTAATTTATTATCCTAATCCATTATTTTTACCCATAATCTTAATAATTGATATTACTATATTATTTTATTCAATTATCTTAAATCCATTATCTTGATCGAATTGCTTTGTCAGCACTTTTTCTTAATTTGGCTTTTTTGCCATTTGCTTCGTGTTCCGCGTAGGCTATATCTCAGTTACGCAGCGCTACTTTATAAGCAACATCAACGGTGTGAGTGATCGAATGGGGAGTAATACTTTTATATAACACTAATCTTATTCCATCCCTTGTCAAAATATATTATTTTTAGATTTTTGATTTTTCATATTATATAGATATAATACATATAAAATTGAGGTGAGTTTAATAAAAGTAATGTGTGTCTTCTATAGTGCACTGGGTTAATGTTGTTCTTTTATAAATTCTGAAGTCTAAACGAAAATAAATAAAATAATTATGTTGAAATTACAAATGATATACATGTGCAACAAGACATTATTGCGCCTTTTTTTTGTTTATTTTGATATAGCAGCGCACTGTGTTTCATGTTGACCTAAGTGGCAGAACCAATGGCGTACACTTATTATCTGTCAAAATGGACTCCATGGTCTTTTATAAATTGCGAAATACTTAACATAGTGCCATTAATCTGATAATCGAAAATAAAATATGATTTTTTTCCTGGTTTATGTTATAACACTACAGTTATCAAGATTTAAATGTAAATAACTTTCAGTGCATCACAGTAATAATTTAATTTAACAACTTTTCAAAATTTTACAATCAAATATCTCGTATTTCAGCAAAAAATTTAAATTATTAGTGTATCTACATTAAGTATTTAACGTTTGTACTTTTCCCAATAATGTCACCAATAAAAACTAGCAGAGCCCAAGTACCGAACCTTGTGATACACTTGATATTTGCTTAAAATAATTTGACATTCATCCTTGTACAGCCTAGAAACTTTATACAGGGTGTTCCATCTCAAACGAGCCACCACGTATATTTCTTATCCCATAGTAATTGGAAAAATTTCCCGAAACACGTCGGATGACTTTCTTTGGGGGATATCTTTTGACGTATATTTGAGGTTTGAACGAGCAACCCCCTATGAGGAGGCGCTTTAACCCCTCAAAATTGAATAGGGAAGAGGAGTTGAGTGATACTTCATTTGTAAGGTCTTGGAGTTAATTTAACAAAAATCGACCTGTCTATGATAAAACTATTGAGCCAATATAAAAATATTTCCCAAAATACAATTTATTGATAATACATTCTAAATTTACACAACCGAACGCCCGTGAAAGATCAAAATATACCCCAGAGACATACAGTTCATTATCCAAATATTTATAAACACATTCAGTGAAATTACATGCTGCTCAGTTGATGGGCCTATTCAAAATCCACGTTGGGTTATTCTATTAGTAACGATATTTTTTCAAAAACTTTAGAAAATACATTTATAATAGAGATAAATGAAACGATAAATTGGGTGATCTTTACAATAGTTTTACTCATTTTTTGAAGATGACATCAAATAATAATTATTAAAATAATATATTACACAATAATGATCATTAGCTTCTACTTGTTGACTACGCCACAGGTGTCTGTTCCGTCTCTTCCTCCAGACTCAACGAAGACATGTTGTTTCTCTAACATGTGTTACCTACTTTCCTTCAGACGCGTTAGACAAAAATGTGTGCGTTTTTATTGTTTTTTTTTATATTTCTTGGTTCTTGTCAATGAACTCTCCGAATTTGATACCGCAGGTTATGGGCAATTTATTTATGGTGTCAAAAAAATTGCGGAAATATTTTTTTCGTATCGTTGCCAAAAACATTTGGTCGCCTCTTGAATGGAATATATAACTCGTTCATTCATGTTTTACAGTGGGAAGTGATGGTGATGTCATTTAGTAAATCTAATTGCAATATATTATGCCAAGTGAATTTTTTTATGGTAGTTCAATAAATTAATGGGTGATAAAATTTGTATCCGGTTAACGTAATTTTTATTTTTTTTATGGACTAGTTTCAGGAGAAAATTTACCCATTTAACTATTCAGGCTTATTTTATTTTAGTATACACCACCATACAACAAGCAAATTATTGGGTGGGGATTGACAATGAGCTAAAGAATGCAAACAGAACTAAAATTGTAAAGAAAATTGCAAAACAAACAAAATGAAAAAGATAAATCAAATAGATCTACCTCAGAACTTATTATCATCATCAGATAAAAATGAATCTTCAATATTACTACAAACCAGTTACATTAATGTCAATTAAAAAATAATTGTGCATGTGGAACGGATAAAATTTCAGCTAAAACCCTAAAACAAATTCACAATTAGGTACATTAAATTATCTTTAAAACCCATAATCAATCTTTCTTTCAAAACCTCTAAAATTTATGCAGAATGGAAAGAATCTATCATAAACCCCATATTTAAAACAACGTCTCTAACATTAAAAAAATCGCTTTGCAAGCATTTTCTGTTGTCTGGTTTTGTTACTATCGATATAGGGAAATTCCTACACCGAAAATAGCAAAATCGGACGATAAGAAATGCTTGAAAAGGGATTTTTTTATTGTTATAGGCGTCTAGAAGCAAGAAACGTAAAACTCATCGATAAAAAACATTAGGTATATGAAAAAACAAATCGATAAAAAATATTATTTTGAATTTAACGGGTTACACGACAGCTCCCACTACCGGGATATAGTATTACCAAAGTATTATATTGCATAAGATTCGTGAAAGTACAATACAAAAAATCCTAATTTTTATTCATCTGCTTGCTATATAAATTTGTTTAAACGAATTTACTTTATTAAAATGTGTTTTCTCTTTTAGTTTAAGGGTTGTAATAAGGCGTTTTCGAGGCTGGAAAATCTGAAAATTCACCAGAGGAGTCATACAGGGGAGCGGCCATATTTGTGTCAATTTTCCACGTGCACAAAAAGTTTCTCTAATAGTTCGGATAGAGCCAAACATCAAAGAACCCATTTTGATACCGTAAGTAAAAGAAATTTTTCAATATTTAAATATATGTAATATTTACCAATTTCATAGATTTTTTTTTTAATAGTAATACATTATATTATATATACAGGGTCTCCCATTAGTAATTGCTTGATATTTCAATTTGTGTTAGAGAAACGCAAACAAGTTTCAAATAAAATTTATATGGATTTGAAAAAGGCATACTTTAAAAATAGTTTTGAAAATACAGGGTGTTACGCTTTTGTCTGGAGAAGAAAAATGTATATTTTTTAATTGGATCACCTTGTATTTTATTTCAGTTTTAGAATGGTCTAGTAATACTGTATTTGACTCTAGAATATTTTAAAGAAATATAAAGTTGCCAAGCAAGTAATTCTTTTGTGAAATTATAGAATGATGCCAACCCCTCCCCCCCCCCCAAATAAACTTATCATAATTTAGGTAGATTAGCAATAATTTCAAAATTGTTTAAATTGCAGAATTATAAAATACCAAGGTATCGAATAGTGAAGATAGAACTGGTTTACCTTATACTTTGTTTATTATTTTATCGATTATTTGAAAATAATCGATTTATCGAAAGTAATCGAATAATCTAAAATATTCGATTATTAGAAAATAATCGACAATAATCGAATAATTGAAAATCGATTAATAGAAAAGAATGGATTATTGGAAAATAATCGATTAATCCAAAAAAAACGATTTATCTTAAATAATTAATTATTCGAAAATAATCAAAAATAATCGATTGTCGAAAATAATCGATTACTCGAAAATAATTGAATATTCGAAAGTAATCAATCAATCGAAAATAATAGAGTAATCGATTATTCGAAAATAATCTATTAATCGAAAATAATCAAGTAATCGATTAATCAAAAAATATCGATTAATTGAAAATAATCGATTAATCGAAAATAATCGATTAATCGAAAATAATCGATTAATCGAAAATAATCGATTAATCGAAAATAATCGATTAATAGAAAATAATCGATTTTTCTAAAATAATCGATTATTCTAAAATAATCGATTAGTCGAAAATAATCGATTAATCGAAAATAATCGATTAATAGAAAATATTCGATTAATAATCGATTATTTTGCCACCCCTAATTAAAATATTTTTAAAAAATTAGAAATAAAAAACTACATCAAATTGAAATCCTCGGGAAAAATTAAGCTTTATAAGGGAATGAAAAAGCCTATTGATTTTGAAAAAAAAAAACTAAATAAAAATGAAGTGTGATTGAAATATTTAAAAAAATCCTAACTCAAAAACGAAAAACAATATCAACTTGACATTTTTAGCGAAAATCAAGCTCTATATTGAGACAAAGCCTATGATTTATAAAAAATTGTAAAAAAATTGAGGGTTAACCCTTAAGGAGGGTTGAAATAACAAAAATAGAAATCAAACACCAAAAGCGATATCAACAATTAATCTTCAGAAAAAATCAAGCATTTCTAAGCGGATGAAGCCTATTGATTCTGAAAAAAATATGAATAAAAATGAGGGGTTAAGGGGACAGAATGTCTATTAAACTGTGAAGAGTATCATATAGAATGCCAAGCATTATATATTTTTATTCTAGTTTTTAATTACAAATGCTGCTTGATTATAATTTTAAGTTTTTAACGTGAAATATCTACTTTTCTTGAGGATGACTTAAAATAAGCCAAAATGTCGACTATAAAGAAAAGATTCTCAAAAATTGTTTTTGTCTATTCTACTGGTCTACTAGTAATTCTACTAAAAATTCTACTAAAAATTTTACTAAAAATTCTACTAAAAATTCTACTAAAAATTCTACTAAAAATTCTACTAAAAATTCTACTAAAAATTCTACTAAAAATTCTACTAAAAATTCTACTAAAAATTCTACTAAAAATTCTACTAAAAATTCTACTAAAAATTCTACTAAAAATTCTACTAAAAATTCTACTAAAAATTCTACTAAAAATTCTACTAAAAATTCTACTAAAAATTCTACTAAAAATTCTACTAAAAATTCTACTAAAAATTCTACTAAAAATTCTACTAAAAATTCTACTAAAAATTCTACTAAAAATTCTACTAAAAATTCTACTAAAAATTCTACTAAAAATTCTACTAAAAATTCTACTAAAAATTCTACTAAAAATTCTACTAAAAATTCTACTAAAAATTCTACTAAAAATTCTACTAAAAATTCTACTAAAAATTCTACTAAAAATTCTACTAAAAATTCTACTAAAAATTCTACTAAAAATTCTACTAAAAATTCTACTAAAAATTCTACTAAAAATTCTACTAAAAATTCTACTAAAAATTCTACTAAAAATTCTACTAAAAATTCTACTAAAAATTCTACTAAAAATTCTACTAAAAATTCTACTAAAAATTCTACTAAAAATTCTACTAAAAATTCTACTAAAAATTCTACTAAAAATTCTACTAAAAATTCTAATAAAAATTCTACTAAAAATTCTACTAAAAATTCTACTAAAAATTCTACTAAAAATTCTACTAAAAATTCTACTAAAAATTCTACTAAAAATTCTACTAAAAATTCTACTAAAAATTCTACTAAAAATTCTACTAAAAATTCTACTAAAAATTCTACTAAAAATTCTACTAAAAATTCTACTAAAAATTCTACTAAAAATTCTACTAAAAATTCTACTAAAAATTCTACTAAAAATTCTACTAAAAATTCTACTAAAAATTCTACTAAAAATTCTACTAAAAATTCTACTAAAAATTCTACTAAAAATTCTACTAAAAATTCTACTAAAAATTCTACTAAAAATTCTACTAAAAATTCTACTAAAAATTCTACTAAAAATTCTACTAAAAATTCTACTAAAAATTCTACTAAAAATTCTACTAAAAATTCTACTAAAAATTCTACTAAAAATTCTACTAAAAATTCTACTAAAAATTCTACTAAAAATTCTACTAAAAATTCTACTAAAAATTCTACTAAAAATTCTACTAAAAATTCTACTAAAAATTCTACTAAAAATTCTACTAAAAATTCTACTAAAAATTCTACTAAAAATTCTACTAAAAATTCTACTAAAAATTCTACTAAAAATTCTACTAAAAATTCTACTAAAAATTCTACTAAAAATTCTACTAAAAATTCTACTAAAAATTCTACTAAAAATTCTACTAAAAATTCTACTAAAAATTCTACTAAAAATTCTACTAAAAATTCTACTAAAAATTCTACTAAAAATTCTACTAAAAATTCTACTAAAAATTCTACTAAAAATTCTACTAAAAATTCTACTAAAAATTCTACTAAAAATTCTACTAAAAATTCTACTAAAAATTTTACTAAAAATTCTACTAAAAATTCTACTAAAAATTCTTCTAAAAATTCTACTAATAATTCTACTAAAAATTCTACTAAAAATTCTACTAAAAATTCTACTAAAAATTCTACTAAAAATTCTACTAAAAATTCTACTAAAAATTCTACTAAAAATTCTACTAAAAATTCTACTAAAAATTCTACTAAAAATTCTACTAAAAGTTCTACTAAAAATTCTACTAAAAATTCTACTAAAAATTCTACTAAAAATAAAAAAAATTTAATAGAAATTCCTCTACGGGTAATCGCATGTGAAGCTGGCATAACTTATATCTTTTATACGACGCAAAAAATAATAATAATCCGGAGATCGAGGTGACCACGGTGTGGGACCTCTTCCTGATTAAATAAAACTAATGTTGATTCGCAAAAAATATACATAAAATGAGAAAATTGAAAACAGTTCGTGAGAGTGTAAATGGCTCCAGGCCGCACAGGTTAGGTAAATAATAAGTTTTTTTATTCAATTTATTCAAAATACTAGCGCTCAAAAACTCGCTACTTCTCAGCCCTATTTTGATTGGGCGCTATTCTGTTCAACGCTATTTTGAACAGGCGCTCAAACAATAGCGTTATTATGATAAGGACTATTTCGTGACAGAGCCATTTTATTGATGTATTTAATTACTATTTATATGTATACGACAGGCTAAAAACAACTAATTTTAACTTATAATTAGGCTTGGAAAATATGCACTTAAAAATGGTCTAAATATGTATGCATTTATGCGTTAACAATAGACAAAATATGCTTTTAAATATGCAAAATAAGAGACAGTCGTTTTTGATATTTATTTTTATTTTGATATTTATTTTCAATTCTATTTACAGATGTCGAAAGCATATTTTTAATTATTCTAATTTATAGGGTAATGTTTTTGAGATCACTGGATTCAACCCTCATGTCAGATTGGACAAATTGACAGTTGACAGCTGTCAATACACTATCAACGAAGAATATTCATTTTGGCACTTTTTTGTCCATGTTGCATGTACTTTATGTGTATTTTGCATATAGTCCGAGCTCTACTTATAATAATCAAATAAATTAACTAGACTTTTATTTTATTATTTTATTTCAGAAACCATATGCCTGTCAAGTTTACGGATGCACCAAAAAATACACAGACCCTAGCAGCCTTAGAAAGCACGTTAAAAACCACACCTACGAAGAACAACTTCAGGTAAAGAAGAAGAACAGCGAGGATACTATGAGTTTTGCCTCGCAGACTTTCGTGAAGAAATATTTGGACCCCAGTAAGCAGAAGGCTGTTCGATCGGGCCCCAATCCTGCTTTCTTCGATCACAGCTATTCCACAACGTTTATTGGCGAACGAAATTATAACATTGTGAATATCAAAAGAGATCTGAAAAATAAATTGTACGAGAAAAATAAACTGAGAAAACTTTATTGTTAGATGGAATTATGTTTTCGAAAGATATTTTTGTAAATATTTTGATACAAATAGGACCAAAGTATTGTGATAATTGTAAAATAAATTGATAGGTACCTATAGATATAAGAATTTAAAATAATTTAGGATTATCTATTCATGATAGAAAGATGTCAATATGTTTTATTTTTTAAATGAATAAACAAGATATTTTATATATTTTTTTATTATTTTTTAGTTTAATCATACGGTGACGCCTTAGATCAGCCATACTCAACCTGCGGCCCTTCAAGCTCTTTTTGCGGCCCGAAACTCTATTATTGCGAAGGTGCTTCTTAAAACTATTGGTTTCTGTTTATAAAATCTTAAGCGAAATGCGCAAAAACATTTATCGGTCACTACGCTAAATAACACGCTAATTTTTAAATAAACGTTTGACATGAGGTAATTGCAAAAACGTTTTTTCCGATTTTTCACTAAAGTTCTACGATTTCTTGTGCCCCAACTTGCCTCCGCCTCTCGGCAGCGACTTGGAAGGGTCAGCTGGCTTCATGCCGAAGCGAAGCACAGCTTTTTATCTTTCTCGACCTTTGAACGGGTGAGACTGTTTATTTCTACGTGTTGGGATGAGCCCCCACGTTTTTTCTTAAATTGCAACCAGCCTCAAGTTATGGTGGAGAACAGGGACCGTATTGTGGCAACCCTTTTTTAATCTATTGATATATTAATTTTCATGCTACTTTTACATTTATTGACGATGTCTCTGATGATGGCTGAAAGCGCTAAGACTAATATTACTGAGTTTTATTATTAATAAAACTCTACCTACACACTTTAAATACTTTCGATTAATTTCTTATTACCCAGTGTGTACACACCACTCAACCTCTTCTAACACTTATTATTAAAGGATCAAAATGTAAATAATTTATAAATATCTCATAATACATATACATATATATCATTTTTTTTTAGAAGAAAAGTACGTGAAGAACCTCAGCAAATTAAATTTTTAGTTTTTTGTATGTATGTATTATTTTATTTTTTTTAAATTTGCTTTATTTTTAAAACAAAATTTATTTTGTATTTAAGTATGGGTTTTATTTTCTAAACTATGGTACGGCATTACAAAAAAAAATTGAATATGCCATGAATATTCAAAATACCATGAATATATAGCCATACATATAGATATCCTCAGTAAATCCTGAGAATATGCCATACATATATTTTGGCAGATAAAAACATATCGTAGGAATATGTTTCATGGTGACCTTGTCATATGCCATGGCGGATATGGCATATCCGTGGAATATAGGAGTATGCAGTTGAGATATGCATTGCATATTCATGCAATATTTTTGTGCTGTCTGGGGTGATTACCGTAGGAATGATTGATTGGTCAAGCTGTAACGAGTGGGGATGCTGATGTCTCCATATTGTTTGCGCTTTAAAACGACCAGAAGCACCTCTTAAATCACCGCAACAACACCAAAACACCAGCTTTTTGCATTGCTTGAAAAACCCAAGTCATACCCAGGCAGCAGACTGACGTCATTATGACACCTTTTTTTCGTCATACCCGACGTCATTTATCCTCTGAAAACTAACGTGATGACGGGGTTAAATGACGTGAATATGTCACAGCCCTAATGACGTCATATCTAGACGTCCTTTTCACGTCTAAATATGACGTCTTTATGACGTTTTTTAGTAGTCTTTATAACGTGTCCTTATGACGTTTTCTTAACGTTCTTTTAATGTCGTTATATTTGATATTGTTACTCCCTTATAACTTTTCTATAGGGATTGTGGGGCACTTAATAAAACAAAATTTTAAAATGAAATAATTATACTTGAAAAGAAAAAACAATTTAAATACATTATTGGCAAAAACATTAATTTATATAAATCCAACCGCTTCAAATGTGGTCAACTTGTACGTTATTATTTTGGTTTTGGCACAATTATGAAAACTACGGGCACAATTAATTTCTAATGATATTTCTATGAGTGCCGCCAGTTTATACTATTTCACGAACATTTTAGGAAACAGCCTATGAATGTAATAGATGCCAAATCACTAAAGAAATTAGGAAATTAAGGGAAATTATAGATATAATTAAATACTAAAAGGCATATACCTTATGCTGGGTTGATATTGATATAACATTTTGCATTGACCTCCTCTTAACTTTTAACGACGGCCACGATCCACGATGCATACACCATTACACATTACACATGGCCGAAGCAGCAATCCGCACTCGCGTATCGGGGACAACACTAATCATTTGTAACTGCTGTGGTGGGAGGTGTTTGTGTGAATGCGTCTTGTTTGTTTTCATTTACGTCGTGACTAGCAGTAGTATTTTATAAACCTTAGAAGCAAATTTCACATACATGAACAAATAATAATAATGCCGTGACAACAAGAAGACGAAGCAACGACTTCTCGTAGGGTGACGGCTTCGCCGCCACCAGAAAATTTTGATCCATACCTGGCTACGCCAACATGCATAAACACCAACGGCCTAAACACAGATCACCTACTCTGTCAAAAGGAGACCGATGTACAAATAAAACGCGTACGACATGCGCACTACAAATGATTAGTGTTGCTCCGATACGCGAGTGCAATCCGCCATTCCGTTCTCGTGATTGCTCGAATGGCTCGAACGCACACGAGCCATACTCCACAGACCAATGACCAGACGTGGACCAGACAGACGCAGTCCCGTAGTGTCATAAATTGTTTAATCGTTTTAAGCGCCAGATTTAAACGTTAACAGACCTAAGATTTTTTAAAAATACTTGTTTAGGCCATATCATTTTACATAAATAAAATGTATCAAAATTACGTATGATATATACTTCAATTTAATAGTGACGATGAATATTGTCACACTGACGTCGAATTTATGACGTTAAAGAAAAGACGTCATAATATCACGTTATTTTTTGGTAACATGACGTCGATGACCAAGAATTACAAAAAATGTTGTCAGTCTGCTGTCTGGGTACCGGCAGAGGGGATGCGTTTGAAAATACATTATAGCAATTTCAAGAAGAAAGATTTGCTTAAAACTTTGCAAAGCAGGTGCTACACACCTGATGAATTTCACCGTTATCACAATCCACCTATATCCAATAATGTTAAGATACAGTACTTGAATCTGCCATTGATAATAGTGACATACATTGAATATTATGACCTGTATGTAGACGTGACTTTTTTTCTCTTTTTTTTTTTGTTACCAATTTATAGATTTTTAGTGAAGACTAATTATGTTTTGAATACCTTTTTTTCATTGGAGTTATTATTTATTAAACAGTTTGAAGCTTTTACTGATTTTTTATTCAATTTTACTGAGGCCCTTCCTATGGTGCCTCAGTATATTGCATTCGTGCAGACGAAAAAATTTTCTTACCCCCATTTTTTAAAACTTTTTTTCATGTTTCCGATCATTCTGAGTCCGAAAATACAAAAAAAAATTCGTCTGGTCGTCTGTATATATGTATGCCGGCACAATAACTCTAGAACAAAAGTTCTGATTGACTTGCGGTTTTGATTTTCTTGAATAATTACTTCTAACTCAGAATTTTCGGTTCATCCTAACTACTTTTCTTAAAATCCGCATATGCATTTCTTGTGTTACAATTTTAGGAATTTCAATTATTTCTAAGTTAAAATTCCATAAATTGCATTCTCTAACGACCTGTCAAACAACAGCTGTTGATAGTAAAGGTGAAATTTCTAAGGCGGGTTGCGACCTTTATACTTGCAATCATAGCCATTTTGTAGGCTATTTTTATTCTAAATTAGTAGCCAAGCCTGCCAATTTATGAAAAATATATAAGCAATTTCTTAAAAATGACTTTTCTATGGTGATGCTAACTTAAGCGTACTACTATTTCGCCCCTAGCCACAAAAACACCTTCATCAAATTTATTGGCTCTCTGTCACAACCCCATAGAATAATTAATACCGGCCATTTTACGTGGCAAAAATCAGAATAATGCTTGGCTGTGCCTGTCAAGTATCAAGATGTCAACTGTGATGTGTGAATGGCTCTTAAATGTCAAATTAGGCATTCCAAACAAATGAATTACCAGTGGGCAGGTTTGGTATATCTAAGGGTGGCGACATATGGTGTATTCTATCTACTTTACGTAAAATCATGAATAATGGATTACATTTAAATATTTTATGTGAAACACAATAAAAATAATATTTAAAAACCCACCTATACAGTTCTTCATAAATTGGCAGGCTTGGCGAGTACTACTCAATGACATATATAATTTAAATAGACTGCTTATCCATACGTAAATAAAACGATGAAAAGTGGGTCGAACTGGGAGATGTTTTCTCTTTGTCTAGTGCATGCAATGTTTGTGTTTTGTCTCAATTTTGAGTGCTCACTGGTAAACAAACCTTTCACAGGACCGGTTTTAAAGAAAGTTTAGTCTAGTTGAGATTTTGTTCTCATTGTCATTACTCAGTCGGACATTTTGTTGAATTGTTTATTTTATTTAGTTTTAATTATACTTATGTTCTGTTTTAAGTTTTTTAATTATTTGAGTATAAAAACTTGTTTTGTTTTTAAATTTAAATGGTGAATTGCTCTATAAAGGTTTGTAAGACCAGCTACAGAAATATAAAAAGTAACATTTCATTTTTCACGCAAGTATCAATACAAGTAGGTACAAGGTAAATACGTTTATAATAATTTTACGAATTATAATTAATTATAATAATAATATTAATAATAATAAAGTATTTATTGTAAATACAATTACATAAATATTATTATATTCAAAGGCCCGAGTTAGAGCTATCTGGGCTTTACAAGTACATTTTAAAAGTTAGTTAGATACAGAGAAGTATCGTATAATAAAAACTCAATATAAATAGAAGAAAAACGGACATAAGTACCAATACAGAGAGACAAACATTATTCTTTGATAGGTTCTTTCTATGTGAATTCTAGCTCTGGCAATTTTGGCATTAAGTAAAGCCTCTTAATGGCTGAACTGATTTTTTTTATTGAGGAAAGGAGGCTGTATAATTTGTATACCTTCAGCTTCTGTTATGTTTCCAATAAGAAAAC